GTTTAGAAAACTACTAAGTACAATAGTGAGTAACAAATATATGATCAGGATTACATTACAAATTTAATGATAATAAATTCCTTTATCAACTGAGCTGTTCCAAAGGTGGATACTAGTACTACAAAACCAAAATAATACTTAAGGATGAAAATTTACTGTAAGGTATCTGTAATGTGTCATGAAAATACTTCTTATTTTACTGCAGAAATGGAAAGAACCGGGTTGAAAGTGAGGAATTTAGATCTGAAGGAAGAAGAATTCTCCGTGTATATGTCATACATATGCATCTTTAACCTAGTCACTGTGTTAATGCAAATGTAACTTTGCTCTTGTACAATCCAAATTTTCTCTGTGCAATTGTTAAAACCACAAGGTGCAGGACTTACACTCTCAGGTATGCATCCTGAATGGTGACAGAGCAGCTGCTTATGCTGATGATATACAGATGTATGTGGGTATTTTATGTAAAAAAGGTTGCAGTATAATAGCACCCAGATACTACAGATAAAAGTGGGTTTGAATGGTTTTAGGCAATGCATACCCAAGATGTAAATATGACCTTAATTTAAATATATAAATATCAACAATGGAAAAAAATACCAATCAGAAGCTACAAATTAAAAAAACCAAACCAAAACACAAAAGACTAGCATTGTCAAAATAAAGCTTTTACAAAGTAAATTAAAAGAAACTTACCTGCAAGGGGTTCCACTTCCCAGCCTTCCAGCACAGCACAAGGGAAAGGATAAAGAAGCAGAATAAGAGAGAGTAGGAAGTACTCTTTGAAGTCACTGGTGTAATTCAGACAGCTGAGGCTAATAATAGCTAAAAGCAGAGGAGACTGAAGTGTGGCTTCCCAGCAAAACACAGCCCATGAATGCACTGTCTTTCCCACAGAGCGAGGGGCAGATTCTGGGCTCTGCCCAGTGCAAGGCTGAGCTCTCCAGGACATTCCTAGGAAGCAGTTTTCTGCAGAGCAATCCCATTCATTTCAGGGGCAGTCACATGTCTAAAACATCGACTCATGGGTTCTACTCTTTAAGGGCAAAAGGGTCTGTACTTTATGTGATCTGTGAGCATTAGTTCTTCCATCTACACACAAGCACCGTGTCTGTACAGCAAGTGTAATGGGGTGAGCATTTCTGCGAGTGACATCTTCCTGTCAAATGTAACAACAGCAGCAAGACACCACATTTTATCCCAAATGGTCTTGCTGTGAGAATCCTAGAAAGAAAATCCATGGCCCTTTGCAAAAGAGGAATTGTTTATATTGTTTTGTAATTAATCAAAACAAAAAGAGGCTGTGATCTGTAACTTTCCACTAGGAAAGGCAGCAGAATTTCATTTTGCATTATTATTGCTAGCATTTCCAGCTGGGAAGTGAACATTTTGCTAACAACTATTCTGAAGAAGAAAAACAAAACTGGCAGTCCCAAGAAAGCAGTTTGCTTTTTTTTTTTTTTCTTTTAATAATCTGATTTCCGTAATGTAGTTTGGTTCAGTGTACCAGATTACAAAACAAGAAGTGTGGAAGCACATACAAATGCAATCACTATGAAGAGTATCATTAACTTATCTGACAATTGTAAGGAGTGGAAAAAAGTTTCCATGAAAGGAAAGAAGAGTTAACATAAAATGTGTTATGGATTAGAAAAAAAACAGTAACCAAAAAGTGACCTGTATGGATATTGAAAAAGTTAAAATCATGAAACAGAACCATGTTGTCTTACCTTGCCCTTTGAAATAGCTTTGTAGGCTGCCTTTATGATTAGGTAAGACCAAAAACAGTGAAGAATTTGAAGAACCATAAGAAGCACATTGAAGACCCACAAGGCAGGAAAATTGCCCAGAGCTTCATACAGTTCAAACAATGTTGTGTTTAATATCCTGGAAGAGACAGGGACAGAAAAACAATAACACTTTCCTTAAGCCAATGAATTTCAAAGAAGCCCTTTTTAAATCAAGATGCCGAATACTTTATTAGAAGGGATCCACATGTGCAAGTTGGTTCTCAAAGTAATACTGGCTTGGACTGAATCCTACAGGTTTCTCCAGAGAGAAACAACATGAGACTGTTGCTTTCAATATTTAACCTAATTTTGCAAATATTGCATATAGAAAATATAGATCCTCAGTGTACATTTCTCCACTTCATCTACAAAGCTGGCAGCTGTTGGTTGTCTCAAACAACTCCTTCCCTGATTAATTACAAAACTTACTTTATCCCATTTTTTAAAAATAAAGCTATTTCATCTCAGCTGCCTCCAGTATATGTTTGGTGCCCCCATATTAGCACAGGTAAGAGCATGTATGACAACTGTTAAACTCCTGTGCAATCCAGTGCAGTACCATGTTCTTCAAACCACATTCTCAGGCTGTGACAGTGAGCTGTAACCTCTCATGTGTTAAATGGCACAAACCTGTACCAAGAGCCAGGCAATGCTCCCTAGGTACTCCCATCTGAAGCCCTCTCTCCCAAAGCCAATCTCAAAGGATTTGTTTCAGTGTACACAACTAAGGATGTCTTTGTCCAATTGCAAATAAAGCGCTGAGTGGAACTGAAAACAGCTGAAAACTGAAAACAGTCTGAGACCGTTCAATTAAAGTGAAACTTCAGTGGCACCTGAAAAATGGCACACGTGGGGCAGGATTTACCTGGAAACATTGAAAGTCAGGTTGGACAGGGCTCTTAACAACCTGATCTACAGGAATATGTCCCTGCTCACTGCCTGGGGGTTGGACTAGATGACATGTAAAGGTCCCTTGCAACCCAAATGATTCTATGATTCTAAGAAATTCAGGCAATTCTAGACATTTGAACCAAGTTTTTGAGAATCAGCATTTCAGATGCTGTAACACGACTTCTAAAGCATTGTGAACACAGCACTAATTTTCTGCCCAAATACTCTGCCACAGCAGATGATTTCAATCTGGACCCCAGCAAACAGCCTGAGAGCAGACAGAGGAGAACAGACAAATGACATTTTTTGAAATAAATAATGATATAGTAATTGCTGTTAATAGGGGGAGAAAAATAAGGCAATATAAGGATTTGTCATCCTTTATCCATTTTTCCCGCTGGTGTAAAAATTCATTAAAATCTCCATTGGCTTTACGTTCTTTTTCTTTGTTTTAAATTAACCATCACCCGCCAGTCACTAGATGGCGCGTTTAGTCAAGACAACGCCCGCGCACCAGCGGGATGTGGCACTGAGTGCCGTGGTCCAGTCACCACGGCAGTACTGGATCAAAGGTTGGACTTGATGATCTCGGAGGTCTTTTCTAACCCGGCTAATTCTATAATTTTATGATTCTAGGGGATGGCACTGGGGTCCCACACTTCTCTCAGCGGAGAAGTTACAGATACCGGTCTCAGCTTTTTAATAAGCAATCACATTTGCCACAATCCTTTACAACAACATAAAATTAATTAAATTAGTATTAGTAAGAAGTATGTACAGACAACAAACCCAGTATACAATATTTAGTGGTAACGATTTATGTGTATAACAGCATTGATCAAAAATCAACCAGTGATTTTTAATACACTGGCCTTAATACTGTAGGGGCATTTCATAGTAAGTCTACCTTTTTATTTTTGCCTTCTTATGCTAAACTCCACATATGTTTCATAATTTATTAAGAAGTTGATGTTTTATAACCTTATTATATAGATACGTTTTTATATCTTCTGTTTATGGAGAAAACATTAGAAAAAGAAACTGTTTTTCAGTTTGCAAAGATCCCATCACATTATTGCTTCTGTCAGATAGAACACTTCAGTCTCAGCTTTGTCTAATTTGTTCTGCCAATAGTAGCCCTACATGGCACAGCAATACCCCACTTTCCTATTCAAGGAGAGGCTCTCAAGCATATCAAAACAGAACTCTAGTCAGCACTGTTTTATTTCACCAGTGCTTACTGCAGTTCTAACCATTATCTCAAATTCAAACTTGAAATCAACAACTCCTGTATACAAAGTTACCATTGTTTACACCCAAATGTCTTTAGGTCTAAAATTTATACACTCCAGAATTGTAGATGCAGTTTCTACAGGTTTCTGTTTATATTTTCATTCACTGGACCAAATTCATCTCTAGGGACTTCCACAGAAGTCAAGTCAAATAAGCAGCATTAGACATGCAGATGGTCCAGTCTTGCAGAAGTCAGGAAGAAAGCAAGGCCAAAAAGAGTGCTTCTGGTATCCAAAGCAGTTTCATGTGCAAATGAGTCATCTAGTGTGTATTAGATATGGAAAATAAGCCTTCGTTGGAAAAGCAGATCTCTTTCTAACCTGCTCATGTCTGGCAAACTAAGGACAGGACTGGAATTCTCCATTAGAGCTGCATGAATGACCTCACTAATCACTCAGCAATATTAAGAGAGGTCAGTGATCTGCTAGGTGTGCAGATAGGGCTAAGGCTATACCTAAGCACCTAGGGCTGAGCAGAAGCTGAGTGAAGAAAACAGAAAATGACAGAAAAAAATGGAGTTAAGCAAATAAACTCTCAGTATCAATCAATTATTTAATATTATAAGTCTGAAATGGGGAAAAAAATTTTAAGTTTATTAGGTAGAATACACAGAGAAATTCTACTTGTAGAGACTGAGGAAGGGGGAGAGGGAAGAAAGGCTAGACCACTTTTCATCAATTCCACTGCTAAAAATATTCAATTGAAGCATTTTAACTAACCACACAAAAACAGTGACTGGAAAAAGCAGCATGAGAATGGATTACATGAAGGAGAAAGTGCCTATACAATGTATATGCAAATATATCTTAGGTTCAAATACTCAGAAAAGCATCAGGTCTTTAAATCTGCAAATATGCTTGCTGGAATTTTTCAGAGCTGTCCAGTGGTTAAATCCCAGCTTTTCAGAATGAATGATGTAAACTTTGATTCTTGGGTATCTAACTTGAAACAGCTGGACTTGATCTCATACTGGGAAATCAAGCTGCAAGTGCTCTACCTTTCTAAAAACTTTGGTCAGCATCTCTCAGATCTTTGCAATTTGAAACTAAATGTTAGCTCTTGAAAATAAGTTCTGGACTGTAGTGGTTCTTCTGAGGCCCTGGAAGATTTTTTTTTTTTTGATAGCTGGACAAAACAACATAATGTCATGAAAGGCATTCTTCCCTCATTAAATGCATCCCAAGCAGGGTTGTGCACTTGGTTGTGGGAAGCTCTCAGTTTAGCATTTTGATTTAAGTAGTGTGTCTGATAAAGGCAAATGAAAACAAATTCATCCCTTAAGATCAAATCTACTCTTACAGAAATCTGTGGTATTTTTTCAGGAACGCTGCCACAATATCTGAGCCACTGTGTGAGGTAATCCTGTACTTACTTATTACCACTCTAATTGAACACTCAGAATAAAAGAACACATTTTCAACAACTATTAAACAATCAGCAGCAACACATCAACAGTAACACAGGTTTTTCTTCTACTGTCTAACCCTTTAGCCAGCAAAGCAGTACTTGGGAGACTCAGCAACAGATCCATTAACAGACCCAGCAACTGACTCATTAAGATTATACTCCCTCCTCTCAACTCAGTGGGTCCAAGTCCAGGCTCTTGCATAACAGTTACTAATTCTTGGCAAGTTGATCTCTTGTCTTGCACCAAGGATGAAAGGAGATGAAAGTAGAGAGAACATGGAGATGAAGGAAGAGAGATAATGAAAGAGAGGGATGGGTGTAAGAGTAAAATACTTATTTCTATTTGTCTGAGAACTGACAAAAATGTGCTGTGTTTGCTTCTGAAAGGATCCTGAGAGGAATAAAAAGAGACAAAGAAGGGGATCATGTGGAAAGAATAGACATTCTTCCACATAAGCAGGAAATTATTGATAAACTCTTCAGAATGAAGCATAACAGGATGATGGGCACTATTATCACATCAAATGAGAGCAGAAACTCTGCATCTGAAATTAGTGCTACTGCAAGTTGGCTTAACTTCTGCAGCACTGTCCAGTGACCAACATACTGTATGTGAAACACACCAAAGTCATGTTGTTACCTCAGTACAATAGTCAGAAGTCTCAAAGTATGACCAAGGACAGCACAATATCATACCAGCTGGTCTAAATAATTCAGAATGAATGTCTTTATCTCCTTTACCAAGTGCATATTAAACAACAGTATTCTATATTGCACCATAACCACCCGTACTGGGACATCTTTCAATACTGCGTTCATGAGAGAGAAAATACATAATTACATCTAGGTGGGCATTAATGACATTCAGATCCTATTTAGTGCAAGTAACCCAACAGTACTACTGCCAGCAATGCTTCAAAGTTTCTGCTTTTTTTACTTTTTCCTTAAAAAACCCAAAACCAATTGCACTTACTTCAGACCCAAAAACATACTCATTCATTCTCTCTTATACATAGTAAATAATTACGAAGACCAAAGAGCAAAGTGTCAGATGTTCTAAATTCTGGATTTAACTGTTACATTAACTTATGTGGTCCAAGAAATTTTCAAATTTCCTTACATTGTTCACTTTTTGTTAGTGATGAGCACAAGGCACTGGTACATTCTGTTGGCCACATAAAGATGCTGGGAGAATTATCTTGTTTATAAAACACCACAGACTACTGCCTTAAAAGATGCTCTAAAACTGACACGTAAGAGAAAAATATCACTGAGATTTACAGATAACTGAAGAGGCAGTAGAGTGTGAAAGCACACGTATGCACACATGTTGATCAGCCACAGCATGATAAATCAGCTACATTTCATCAGAAGTCAAGATTTATCTCTGGGATTTAGACCTTGATTGAAATCTAATAGGACTTCATATCCCAGCTGTCCTAGCAACAGACCTGACAAACAGATATTTCTGCATGAGAGACTTCAGATGAGTTACACGACTTTTTA